AGGACTCCCCTAGGCCACAGGTTTACTTTGGGTGAAAATTTTAAATTACAGATTCAGTGACTTTAATAGGTCCATTTAAGTGTCCTATTCCTTCTTAATTTTGAGAAGTTAGTACATTTTACCAGAAATGTCTCCATTTCAACCAAAATTTCTTCAGATTTCTTGGCAAGAGTTAAGTGTCCCCAGTTTCCTGCCTTTTACATCTCTGCTCTGCCTGCAGCCAGGGCCCCCTTTCATCCCTGGGGTCGTCCCTGTGTGCCCCCCGAACTTGGGTTTCCTCCATCAGTCCTGCCTGCAGCTGGGGCCCCCTTTCATCCCTGGGGTCGTCCCTGTGTGCCCCCCGAACTTGGGTTTCCTCCATCAGTCCTGCCTGCAGCTGGGGCCCCCTTTCATCCCTGGGGTCGTCCCTGTGTACCCCCTGAACTTGGGTTTCCTCCGTCAGTCCTGCCGGAGCTTGTCAGTTTAATCAGGCACTTCCGAGAATCCATCTTCAGCTGCAGCATCCTTTTTTCTTCTCAGAATTTATTTGTCTGCTTTTCCATCTATTTTCTTTACTTCTTGCTTTAGGACCACTGTGTTCTCTTGCTAACTTCTAACATTGAATATTTAGTTTCAGTCTTTCCTGATGTGTGCAGTTAGGGCTGTAAATGGCTCCAGCATGGCATTCAGCCACGTCTCGCATTGTGATAGGTAGCGCTTTTCATTATTTTTTGGTTCTCAGCATTTCCTGATTTCTATTATGAGTTCTTCTTTGAGCCACGAGTTGGTGTGTTTTCTAATTTCCAAACATAAGGACTCATGGTTCTCTTTTTGCTATCGATTTCTAACAGATTGCACTGTGGTAAGAAAAGGAAGTGTGGTTGGCCTTCACTTTTTTGTGGAGACTTGCTTTACGGGCCAGTGCGTGGTCAGCCCACAGACATCCCACGTGTGTTTGGGATCATGTGTCTTCTCCGTGTGTTTCACAGAGTTCTATTTGTGTTCATTAAGCAGAGCTTGCTAATTGTATTGTTCACGTTTTGGTTTTCCTGACTGACGATTGTCTGCTGGATCTGAGAAAGACATGACGAAGTCTCCCTTGTCCTCTTTCCGTTGCACCCTTTTTAGACATTTTAAAGCTGCTTTACTAAATAGACATTTAACATCATTTTGCCCTTTTGTGATGAATTGAAGTTTTATCACAGTAACCTTCTGTGTATCCAGTAATGGCCTTTCCCTTACATCTTTTGTGCCAGATACTGGAGCTGTGACCCCAGCTGCCCTTTGGCCAGGTTTGCCTGCCTAGCATCAGTTTTCCTGTGTGACTTTCAGCCTTCCCCTGAAGTTTCAGATGTGTCTCCTGTAAACAGCAAAAGCCTGGGCAGTGTATTATTTTCATGTCCTGTCCAGTGGTCCGTGATTTAAGTGGAAACGTGGGTCATTTGCCGTTAGTTTGATCCATTTTTTCAGATGCCTTTGTACCATCTTACTTTATTCTTTGTTTGTCCCCATTTCCTGGAGCTCTTTCCTTTTTCTCTGGTCTCACCTTCTCTTGGGGTAATTGGGGGTTTCCTGCATTCCGTTTTTTCCTCTACTGAGTCCAAAGATATGCAACCTATTTGCTTGTTTTTCATTCGTCATTTTCAACAATTGGAACATGTATTCTCAACACAGTCAGCGTCCTGACTCCCGCCTCTATGCAAACCAAAGCCGGGACTGGGCCAGCCCCAATTAGGGTGCTAGGGTGCCAGGGTGCCAGAGTAGACACAGAGCACCCAGGTGGATATCCTTCCACTGCAAAACTACTTGTTTATCAGACATTGAAATTGAACCAGGGCCGTGAGTGGTTTTGTTTGTTTTTGTTTTACTAAATCTGGCAGCCCTAGCTCCAGTGCCCCATCCCAGGTTATATCACTGACTGGTATTTCATTTCCTTCTTTCTTTTGTTTGATTTCACTGATAAGACACCATTATTATTGCTCTGTGTCATCCCTCTTCATCCGGGCTCTCTCTCCTGCACTTACATCATTTTCTTGGCTCATCGTTCCTTCTCATTTCTCACACTGTCTTCTAGGATTATTTTCATACGGCCTTAACTGTAATACATCCACTAGAGTGTCCCTTGGGAAAACACTCATGTGGTCAACTTCCCCAGCTCATGTTTGTGAGGAGGAAGTTCTTTATCTCACCCTTGTTCTTGGATGATAGTTTCACTAGATAAACAATTCTGGGTTGACAAGGATTTGCTCTTGACACATTGAAGATCTTAAGCCACTGTCTGCTTGTCTCCATTGCTGTTAAGGAGTTGGTGTGTGGCTAATGGCTACCCCTTTGAAGATTCTGTTTTCTCTAGCAGCTTTTATAATTTTCTTTTTGCTTTTGATGTTCTGCAGTTTTACTCTGATATGACTAGGTGTGCCTTCCTGGTCTTTTTTTTCCCCCTGCTTGGGTCTCAAATCTTCCATGTTAGGTTCATAAATCTCTGGTTGTTCCATCATACAGAAATGTCATTTATTTTTAATACATACTCAGCATATTTACTTTTTATAATTTAGAACTGATAATTTCAATAACTGCAGTCTTTAAGGATCTAATCAACATTCTTAATAAACTTAATTTTTAGATAGTTTAAGATTTACAGAAACATTGTAGAGATTATGTACAAGTTCCTCATATCCCCCTCGGAAAAGGTCTTCTACTGCGAACCTCTTACCTCAATACGAGTCATTCATCACAACTTAGAAACCAACGCTGGGCCATGACTATTAACTCCAGAGTGTATTCGATGTCACCAGCTTTACCGCAGCTGCCCCTTTTCTATTCTAGGGTCCTGTCCGGGATCACACATCACATTTAGTCATTTCGTGTCTTTTGTCTCAGTCTTCCATGGCTTTTCAAGGAGCACTGGCCAGGGATTTTGCAGACTGTCCCTCAGTTTGTGTTTGAGTGTTTTCTCCTGGTTCTGTGCTTTGGGGAGGAAGATCACAGAATCACAATGCCGTTTGCCTGTCGGATGTGCTGCCAACATGGCTCACTGACCTTGATCATGTGCTGAGAGTGATGTTTGCCGGGTCCTTCCACCATTGGGTTACACTTTTACTGCCTTTCCAAATGTATTGTTTGGAAGAAAGTCACACTCAGCGCAGCACACACTCGGGGACAGAGTTGGGGAGACCTTAACTCCACCTCCTGGAGAGGGGAGTAGGTACGTGCGTTACTTGAAATGCTCAAGGATTTGTCTCTGCTCCCTGTGTATTTAGTTACTTGTTCTTATCCCGGTGAACTCCTGGGTATCTTACACTTTGGGTCATGCTTCAATACCGAGGTGTTTATTTGGCTGCTCAGCTGGTTCCTGCTCTGGCCCTGGGGCACCTTTCAGACTGGCCCTGCGTGTCCTGTGATGGACCCGTCCTTTGCCCTTCAGGCATGTCCTGATTTCCCAGCTCCACAAGGTGGTCCAGTATTTTCCCTGCCCCAGCCTTGGACTGAGCCATTGTCCAAGGAGCCCACTTCCCTTCATTGGAGAATGGGATTGGGAACTTCACTCGTCTCTGCAGACCCAGGCTCGTGCTGGCTCGCTTCTGTGTTGTTTGGGGTTTTTGTGTTTGGGAACTCATGCTTCCTGGAAGTTAACCGGCTGCACTCATTTGAAGCCTGCTGTGGGGATGTGGGCCTCCAAAGAGGCCCTGCAGTGGTTTCTGCCTGGCGTCCTGGCCTGGCGGAGCTGACACCGTCGATAGTAGCTGTCCACTCACAGTGTCTAGAGCCAAGCAAATTCTCAGGGCCACTTTGTCTTTTCTCCTCTACCCAGAAGCCAGAGTTAAAACCCAAACGCTCCTTCCGATGGCCTCTGTGGGACAAGTTGTTGTTTATCTGTCCTCGCTCACCCATCCTTTCCTGACAGAGGTCTTTCCAGGCCCAGCCTGACAGCCCAAGGCTGGCTCCACGACACCTGAGGACATGGGTGCTATGGCCCCCTGGAGCAGGTCCAGCTTTGCTCCAGACCCAGCAGGTTTTCCCTGGTTTTGTGGGCTTTTCCAGTTATTTAAATGTTCTTGAACTGTTGTATTTCTATATTTTTATAATCTATTTCAATCAACCTTTTTTTAAATGTTTATTTTGAGACAGGGTCTCACTCTGTTGCCTAGACAAGAGTGCTGTGGTACAATCTCGGCTCGCTGCAGCCTCCGCCTCCCAGATTCAAGGGATTCTCCTGCCTCAGCCTCCCGAGTAGCTGGGACTACAGGTGCACACCACCACGCCTGGCTACGTTTTGTATTTTTAGTACAGACGGAGTTTCACCACGTTGCCCAGGCTGGTATGGAACTCCTGACCTCAAGTGATCTACCTGCCTTGGCCTCCCAAAGTACTGGGATTACAGGCATGAGCCACCGCGCCTGGCCAGTCAACGATTTTTAATTGTTGTATTGCAAATGCTTTGCCCTGTTGCCCTGTCATTTACCTATAAACTTCTTCCCTGCTTCTATCTGCTGCCAGTACTTAGGGAAAAACTTGGTGTGAAGGATTCCCTCTGAGAGATCTGACTTCTTCTTCCATTTCATCTCCTCCAACCCCACCTTCCACTGCCCTGAAAGAAAACCAAGATCAGGGGATATGCAAACATTTTTATTTATTAATAAAAGACGAGGAAAAGGAAAGTGATGAAGTAAGCATCCCTCCCCCTAATGTAACCCTGTGGCATCGATGGCAGATGCCAAGCTCACGTGCTGATGCCAGCCCACTCCTGGGGACCGTCTTTCTTCCTGCTACTTGTAGGAACCCACAAATATACCTTATAGTGCCCTAAAAAAATACCTACATAAATCCACTTTTACAAAAAAGTTATATAATAAATACCACAGCACATTTGACTTCTTAAAGTTATTTTTTTCTACTCTGTGGGCAAATGCACCCCACAAGGGACTCTGTGCTCAGGAAAGAGTTGCAGTCTCGGTACACCCCATCTAATGCACGTGTGGACTATATTGGCAGTCTTTATATTCTTATGTATTTTCTTCCAGCTTGATCCTCTCCCAGAAAAGATTTTACAGCAAAGACCCAATGCAAACGCTGTCCGCTCCATGGAGAAAGTCATGGAAATCCACAGTAAGTTGCCTGGCCAGGTGCTCACAGGGGACACGCTCCTGGGGGCGGGACCCCACTGCCCCACATCCCTGTCCCCCTGTACCCCCAGCTCCTCCCCATCCCTCTGCCAGCTGCTTCCCCAGGCCTGCAGCAGGAGGCCTTGCTTTCAGCTCCATTTCTTGAGCTGGTAGAGACTCACATTTAACTCCCACTGGATTTTCCCCAGCCTACTGGGATGGTTCCATCAGCCCATTTTGTAGGTCTAGAGAATCAAGGCCCAGACAGTCTCAGTGTGAAGTCACTTGGTCTAGGTCCCCAGCTAGCAGTGGGAGCCATGGCTATGAACCTGTACCCTGGGGACTCTGGCCTCTTCCCTGAACCAGAGAAGCCCACGTCCTTAGATCAAAGAACTCTTGGCCCTGCAAAGAGGCAAGATGTAGGCCCTCCGCGTTCTGGCACCGACCCTCAAGGAGCGGGTCCTGGGTGCAAGGGCGTGGCACGCAGCCTGTCTCAGAGGCACCTCCCACACCCTGTCATTGTCGCAAGCCCAGCTTGTCTTGCCTTTGAGATGACCCAGATGGTTGACTGTCTACACAAGCAGGTGTAGTCCAGAGTTTGACTCTCCATTTCCCTGCATGGGGGAGTCCTGGCCTCAGAGCCCTGAAGCTGACCCTGGGCCAGGCCCAGCCCTCCACATACACCCGCTTGTACCTGATGCCGGACCCCTCCACCCCCAGCCTCTGTGAGGGCCCAGGCAGAAGATCCCTCAGCCCCAGCAACAATCTACCAGCTCATCTTCTCCCAGAGATAGGAAGGCTCAACCCAGCAGGCTGGCAGCCCCCACTCCTGACCTCCCAGGGCAGAAAGGAGCGTGGAAAGCCAGGCCCACAGGAGCCTCTGTCTGCAGTCCTAGGCAGGCCTGCTCCTGGAGGGACTCGAGCCACTCACGATGGGGAAACATTTCCAGAGATTCTTGGTCTTCGCGAGTTTGTAGCCATGCAGTCTTCTGCTTCGCGTCTCTTCAAAGACGGGTGCTTTTAAAATCATAAGGGATCGATCTCGTTTGAGGCTCAGGGTCCCGCAGGACCCTCCCGGGCCGCCGTGCATCCTGCTAAGTTGTAGTCACTGAGCGACCTTCCTCACCCCACCCCAGGCAAGTACTGGCGCTGCCTGCAGCGTGCAACCTCCACGGCAGGGCGTTCTCTGATCGAGGCTCAGACTTGCGAGAACGAAGAAGCCGAGACGGTCACCGCCATGGCCTCGCTGTCCGTGGGCGTGAAGCCCGCTGAAAAGAGGTGAGCACCTGCCCTGCCGGCACCTGCCCTGCTGCCCACCTACAGGCTCACCCAGCCCCCCCGTGTCCAGGGACACTCTGTTCAGGGTCAGAACATTTATGGCACGTGCCATGCCAAACAGACTAGAGACAGGCCAGCGGGCCCCCTCCTTCTAGTGCCAAAGCCCCTTAGAGACGCATGAGGAACGTTAGATACTGAACAGATGGACCCGGTGCCCCCGGGCCTGGGTAGGCTGGCGGGTGGGGCAGCGCACAGCGTTTAACCCACGTTCTGTTCTCTCCTCTCTGTGGTCCACCTGCCCCACGCCCCGTCTCTTTCTCTTGCGGGATCCACAGACCAGACGAGGAGCCCATGGAAGAGGAGCCGCCCCTGTAGCACTCCCTCGAAGCTGCTGTTCTCTTGTCTGTCTGTCTCTGTCTTGAAGCTCAGCCAAGAAACTTTCCCGTGTCACGCCTGCGTCCCACCATGGGGCTCTCTTGGAGCATCCAGGGACACCCAGCGTACAACAGCCATGGGAAGCCTTTCTGCCACCCAGGCCCACAGGTCTCAAGACGCACATGCACACCTGGGCGTGGCAGCCTCACAGGGAACACGGGACAGACGCCGGCGACGCGCAGACACACGGACACGCGCAAGCCAAGCACACTCTGGTGGGTCCCGCGAGGGGCGCCGTGGAGGAAAGATGCCTGTGGCAACAGGCGGCCGAGCTGCCGAATTCAGTTGACACGAGGCACAGAAAACGAATATCAAAGATCTAATAATACAAAACAAACTTGATTAAAACTGGTGCTTAAAGTTTGATTATTACCCACAACTCCACAGTCTCTGTGTAAACCACTCGACTCATCTTGTAGCTTATTTTTTTTTAAAGAGGACGTTTTCTACGGCTGTGGCCTGCCTCTGTGAACCATAGCGGTGTGCGGTGGGGGGTCTGCACCCGGGTGGGGGATGGAGTGACCTTTAAAGAAAACAAAACTGGACAGAAACAGGAATGTGAGCCTGGGGGAGCTGGCTTGAGTTTCTCAAAGCCATCGGAAGATGCGAGTTTGTGCCTTTTTTTTATTGCTCTGGTGGATTTTTGTGGCTGGGTTTTCTGAAGTCTGAGGAACAATGCCTTAAGAAAAAACAAACAGCAGGAATTGGTGGGACAGTTTCCTGTGGCCAGCCGAGTCTGGCAGTGCTGGCACCGCGAGCTGGCCTGACGCCCCAAGCACGGGCACCAGCCGTCATCTCCGGGGCCAGGGGCTGCAGCCCGGCGGTCCCTGTTTTGCTTTATCGCTGTTTAAGAAAAATGGAGGTAGTTTCAAAAAAGTGGCAAATCCCGTTGGAGGTTTTGAAGTCCAACAAATTTTAAACGAATCCAAAGTGTTCTCTTCTCACACATCACATAACGATTGAACATCTCCATCTGGTCGTGAAGCATGTGGTAGGCACACTTGCAGTGTTAACGATCGGAATGCTTTTTATTAAAAGCAAGTAGCATGAAGTATTGCTTAAATTTTAGGTATAAATAAATATATATATGTATAATATATATTCCAATGTATTCCAAGCTAAGAAACTTGATTCTTATGAAATCTTGATAAAATATTTATAATGCATTTATAGAAAAAGTATATATATATATAAAGTGAATGCAGATTGCTGAGGTCCCTGCGAATGGATGGCTCTCAAGGTGCTTATGGAAAGGGATCCTGATTGAAATTCATGTATTTTCAAGCTCCAGATTGGCTCGATTTCAGATCGCCAACACATTCGCCACTGGGCAACTACCCTACAAGTTTGTACTTTCATTTTAATTATTTTCTAACAGAACCCCTCCCGTCTCCAAGCCTTCATGCACATATGTACCTAATGAGTTTTTATAGCAAAGAATATAAATTTGCTGTTGATTTTTGTATGAATTTTTCACAAAAAGATCCTGAATAAGCATTGTTTTATGAATTTTACATTTTTTCTCACCATTTAGCGATTTTCTGAATGGTAATAATGTCTAAATCTTTTTCCTTTCTGAATTCTTGCTTGTACATTTTTTTAACTTTCAAAGGTTTTTAATTATTTTTGTTTTTATTTTTGTACAATGAGTTTTCTGCAGCATATGGAATTGTTGCCATCAGAGTTTATTTTCAGAAAGTGAGAGGAGGGACCGTAGGTCTTTTTGGAGTGACACCAACGATTGTGTCTTTCCTAGTCTGTCCTAGGAGCTGTATAAAGAAGCCCAGGGGCTCTTTTTAACCTTCAACACTAGTAGTATTACGAGGGGTGGTGTATTTGTCCCCTCTGTGGCAAGGGCAGGGAGGGTCGCTTAGGATGCCCGGCCACCCTGGGAGGCTTGCCAGATGCCGGGGGCAGTCAGCATTAATGAAACTCATGTTTAAACTTTTCTGACCACATCGTCAGGATAGAATTCTAACTTCAGTTTTCCAAAGACCTTTTAAGCATGTCAGCAATGCATGGGGCACACGTGGGGCTCTTTACCCGTTTGGGTTTTTCCACTGCAGCCACATGGCCAGCCCTGGATTTTGGAGCCTGTGGCTGCAAGGAACCCAGGGACCCTTGTTGCCTGGTGAACCTGCAGGGAGGGTATGATTTCCTGACCAGGACAGCCAGTCTTTACTCTTTTTCTCTTCAACAGTAACTGACAGTCACGTTTTACTGGTAACATTTTCCAGCACATGAAGCCACCAGTTTCATTCCAAAGTGTATCGGGTTCAGACTTGTGGGCAGAAGTTCAGACACACCATGCTCAGGAGGGACCCAGAGCCGAGTTTCGGAGTTTGGTAAAGTTTACAGGGTAGCTTCTGAAATTAACTCAAACTTTTGACCAAGTGAGTGCAGATTCTTGGATTCACTTGGTCATTGGGCTGCTAACAGTCAGCTCTGAGACAGTGGTTTGAGAGCAGGCAGAACGGTCTTGGGACTTGTTTGACTTTCCCCTCCCTAGTGGCCACTCTTTGCTCTGAAGCCCAGATTGGCAAGAGGAGCTGGTCCATTCCCCATTCATGGCACAGAGCAGTGGCAGGGCCCAGCTAGCCGGCTCTTCTGGCCTCCTTGGCCTCATTCTCTCCACAGCCCTCTGGGGATCCTACCACCTGCCCTCTTACCCCGCCATGGCTTATGGGGAGGAATGCATCATCTCACTTTTTTTTTTTTAAGCAGATGATGGGATAACATGGACTGCTTAGTGGCCAGGTTATCAATGGGGGGACTAAATTCTAATCTCATTCAAATGGAGACATCCTCTGTGCAAAGACCTGGCAGGGGGAGGCACGTTTCATCTGTCAGCTCACTCCAGCTTCACAAATGTGCTGAGAGCATTACTGTGTAGCCTTTTCTTTGAAGACGCACTTGGCCCTTCTCCACAGCAAGTGTCCGGGCAGATGGCAGAGGATCTGCCTCGGCATCTGCGGGCAGGACCCCATTAGGGAGGGTTCTTTCGTGTGCTCTCTCTGTGGGTCCTTGGACCTTTAGCCTTTTTCTTCCTTTGCAAAGGCCTTGGGGGCACTGGCTGGGAGTCAGCAAGCGAGCACTTTATATCCCTTTAAGGGAAACCCCAATGACGCCACTGGGCCTTTTGGCGTCTGCCCTGCCCTCGCGGCTTCCTGCCGTGCTGCAGCGTGCCCACGTGCCCACGCCCCACCAGCAGGCGGCTGTCCCGGAGGCCATGGCCCGCTGGGACTGGCCGCCCCTCCCCAGCGTCCCAGGGCTTCAGTTCTGGAGGGCCACTTTGTCAAGGTGTTTCAGTTTTTCTTTACTTCTTTTGAAAATCTGTTTGCAAGGGGAAGGACCATTTCGTAATGGTCTGACACAAAGCAAGTTTGATTTTTGCAGCACTAGCAATGGACTTTGTTGTTTTTCTTTTTGATCAGAACATTCCTTCTTTACTGGTCACAGCCATGTGCTCATTCCATTCTTCTTTTTGTAGACTTTGGGCCCACATGTTTTATGGGCATTGATACATATATAAATATATAGATATAAATATATATGAATATATTTTTTTAAGTTTCCTACACCTGGAGGTTGCATGGACTGTACGACCGGCATGTCTTTATATTGTATACAGATTTTGCACGCCAAACTCGGCAGCTTTGGGGAAGAAGAAAAATGCCTTTTTGTTCCCCTCTCATGACATTTGCAGATACAAAAGATGGAAATTTTTCTGTAAAACAAAACCTTGAAGGAGAGGGGGGGAGGTTTGCGTCTTATTGAACTTATTCTTAAGAAATTGTACTTTTTATTGTAAGAAAAATAAAAAGGACTACTTAAACATTTGTCATATTAAGAAAAAAAGTTTATCTAGCACTTGTGACATACCAATAATAGAGTTTATTGTATTTATGTGGAAACAGTGTTTTAGGGAAACTACTCAGAATTCAGAGTGAACTGCCTGTCTCTCTCTTGAGTTGATTTGGAGGAATTTTGTTCTGTTTTGTTTTGTTTGTCTCCTTTTATCTCCTTCCATGGGCCAGGCGAGCACCGCTCGCCCTCACTGGCCTTTTGACGGTTTATTCTGATTGAGAACTGGGCGGACTCGAAAGAGTCCCCTTTTCCGCACAGCTGTGTTGACTTTTTAATTACTTTTAGGTGATTTATGGCTAAGATTTCACTTTAAGCAGTCGTGAACTGTGCGAGCACTGTGGTTTAAAATTATACTTTGCATTGAAAGGAAACCATTTCTTCATTGTAACGAAGCTGAGCTTGTTCTTAGCTCGGCCTCACTTTGTCTCTGGCATTGATTAAAAGTCTCCTATTGAAAGAAAAAGAAAGCGAACAGTTTTTGTTTGTTTGGTTTTTTTGCTGTGTGTGCTCCATAGTGGAGGCGCTATTTTCCAATTGATGAGAATGACAAACATATATAATCTATCTATCTATCTATCTATCTATCTATCTATCTATCTATCTATAAAGGGGGCTTGAACCTTACTCACCCAAGAGCTTCTTACGGAATGTGGTAGAAAAGCAAGTTGTAACGACACTGTAACCTACTTGATTCCTGTTTGCGCCCGGCGTGAGCTCCGCACTGGCCGTGGCCACTATTCGCCTCTGTAATTTAATTCGTTTCTCTTGGATTGTCTGGACATGCCCGACGGTTCTTTCTTTTGCTCAGTGGAGTTGGAGGTTTTGTGTTTGGTTTTCTCATTCTTGTCTTGTTTTGTGTGGGTGGATTTTCACTGACCAATGATATCCTCTTCTGACGGTCAACTTCTTTCCACTTCACTGGAGTCCAGTATTCTGTACCACATCACGCAATGTGTTACTCTTGTGGTGTAAATAAAGACTGCGTTACTTGCCCTCCCAGCTCTGGTTTCTGCCCGTGCACTCTCTTCCTCATTGGCTCTCGCATGTCTGGGACCCTGTGGGCCGAATGGCCAGTGCCCTGGGTCCCATCCAGATGTTGCATGGGAATCACTGGACCCCATGGGGACGGCCCCTAGGCCCAGACCAGCGGCAGACCCGACCCCCTCTGCCTATATAATCAGGTCCCATAGGAGTGTCTTCGTTTTAAATGTCCAGTAATTTAAATCTTTGCATTATCTTCTCCCCCAAAACACTTACCAAGCCATGGTGAGCTGGAAATAATCTTGGAGAGAACAAGGCCAAAGAGAGAGGCCCAGGACCCACGCTTAGCCACCTGCCCACAGCCGGGCAAACACACTTCTGAGACTGGAGTCCAAACACCAGCCACAGCTCCTGACCCTCGGCAGCACCCCTTCCCAGGCTCCCGCATCCAGTGACTAATCAGTTGGGTGCAGAGCAGTGTAAGCACCAGGCCATCTTGGCCCAACTTAAGACAACTCAAGACCTGCTGGCTTCCCGGAAGGTACCTGAGCCCCTCCCTAGACTGATTGCCTTCCCTCCTCCCCTGTCACAGCTGCCAATCCAAGGACACCTTAACCGCCTTGCACACCGAAGCCCACCCAGTCTGCTTCCCAGAAACCCAGCCCAGGCACCCAGGTTGCCCCTGAGCCCCCGAAAGAGGCCTCTGGAACAGAGGGCCCTGCTGGTCCCCAGGCACAGCCGTGTGGTAAGTGGGGCTCAGTCGGCTTCAGTATAAGAAGAGGTACTTGGAGCCTGAAGCCACTGAGGCTGGAGTGGTTTTGTTGTTGTTACTGATTCAATTGGCATGTTTACTGGTTATAGTATATTAGTTATCTATTGCTTGCAATAGATTCCCTCGAAATTTAACAGCTTCAAAGAGCAGACATTTATTACCTTGGAGTTTCTGAAGGTCCGAGTCTGGGTACATCTCAGCAGGGTCCCTGTCTCATCTTCCCTGGGGGTCTAGTCAAATGCTCAGCCAGGGTTCCTCTGGGGGCCCAGCTGCAGGGGGACCAGGCTGGGGGTTGGCCTCCAGGCACATCCCTGTGGCTGTGGGTGGCCACCTTCCCTGCCTGATGGGCCTCTCCACAGGGCCGCCTCGAGGCCTGGCCATCAGCGTCCCCCACGGCACGTGATCTAGGAGCAAGTGGAGGACACACCAGGAGACACAGCCAGTCTTTTAAAGAGCCTCATCGCCGTGGGCATAGAAACCAGTCCAGGAAGCCAGCCCACACTCATGGGTGAGGCTTTCTCTGCTCAAGGCCCAAGGACCCTCAGACTCAGATCCCGCTGCGCTTCCCTGGGTTCGTCCGTCTCACGTGCTAGAGTAGAGATTTGGAAACTGGTCTACTCCTCTAGCCCAAGAGATGAAGACATCATCGCTCCCCAATAAACAGGTGGAATGAAGGGTTCCAGGGTTGTCTTCTCCACCCATTTGTTTCATTACTGGGGCTGTGAACTAGAAAGCTTTATCTATTTTGGGATGCTAATCCTTTATCCATCATAAATGTATAGTATGTTCTGGTCTTTAGATTCTCCTCTCTCTGTCTCTGAAGAAGTCAGACACATACAGAAGTGGGGGACTAGTTGAGGCCCTGTGTGCTCATCAACCTGCCTCAACAGCTGTAAACACTTCCAAATGTGTTTAGTCTACCCCCTCCTCACCCCAAACAGGATTGTTAGGAGGCAGAAGCAAATCCCAGACATCTTACCATTTCATCTGTAAATATCTCAGTAGATTTCTCTCAAAGATAAAGATTCTTAGACAACACAGTATCTTATCGCACTGCCAAAGTGGGCAGTTTCATATCATGATCATATTCAGCCAATGTTGAGATTTCCCCGTTGTTTCAGATTGTCTTGGTTTTTCATTGTTGTTGTTACTGTTGTTTTGTTTTGTTGTCTTATAATGCATTTGCAGAAGAAATCCAGCCATTTATGCATTCGTACATCCACTGTGCCCTAGCCCTTTCCCCTGACAAGTATAGGAGGCAGGTGGGCCTAGAGCACTGGCCAATTCAGGCTCACACCCCTAGCAGAAGCCCCTCAGAGGTGGGGCCCACCCTTCTTTGACGTGGCCCCTGGGCCCATTATTTCATTGGGGGTTTGAAGGCGGTGATGCTTTCTTGCCATTCCATTTTCACAAATGAGATACTTAAATGCATTCACATTCACAACAAGCAAGCAACTGTTATATCAAGTCTCTAGGCCCAACACCTTTGTTTAGAAAGAAGTAAACATGTAAAGGTTACAATTACAAATTGAAAAGGGTTTCCACTCAGCGTCCCATTGATTCGAGATCTTTTAGTCAATAATTTATGGATGGTAGTATTATTATTATTATTATTATTATTTTAGAGTCTCACCCTGTCGCCCAGGCTGGAGTGCAATGGCACAGTCTCGGCTCACTGCGACCTCCACCTCCTAGGTTCAAGTGATTCTCCTGCCTCAGCCTTGCAAGTAGCTGGGATTACAGGTGCCTGCCACCACGCCCGGCTTTTTTGTATTTTTAGTAGAGACGGTATTCCACCATGTTGGCAAGGCTGGTCTCAAACTCCTTACCTCAGGTGATCTGCCCGTCTTGGCCCCCCAAAGTGCTGGGATTACAGGCATGAACCACTGCATCCAGCCAAGGATGGTAATATTATATGGTACTATATATATGAGACTTTAATATATATATACTTATACTATATATATGAGACTTGAATAATATATGAGACTTGAAGTTTTATTTTTAAATGCACTTAAAATTTCTATTTAAAAGGAACTCCCTGGCCAATTAAACTGTTTTGTTGATTTGATTTCAAATGCAGTAACATTTTATTTCTCTGATAGTGATGGAAAATAAATTCATATAAAAATGTGGGAAAAAGGAAGTGTGGCATTGTAATTCATGCAAGTCTTGGGATTTATGCATGGAAACTAAAATGCTGCCGTGTTCTCAGTTTCTTATGCTGCTTAAAAGTTTTTGTCTGATATCTGAGTGTACAAAAAATGGAAACTCAGGTTTGCAACTAAATTGTGCTATAATTTCAACACATATTGTCTTTTACATCAGATTCTCAGGAAGCGCAGGTCATAATGCAGCATTAGAGGACCCAGGAAGTGGTTCCACTTAAACTTTTTGGGTGCAGTTTTAGGGAGTTGTATGTCCCTGACATACTCTTAATTTCACTCTGGATTCAGTTGCTCTTTGAAGTCACACTGAATCCCTAATGGGTACTTGGGGCCTCAGACTAATGTGTTATAATGTTGAAGTTATTAATAAAGCCGCTTTGGAAAGTAAACAGCTCCCAGTAATGGGCAGTTAAATATATGACAAAATGACAGAGGATGGCAAAGCTAATGTCTGCGTGGGTGACACACATCTACCGAGCCCACCACAGATGTTCGCAGAGCCTGGGGCAAGGGTTCAAGTGGAGACAACCATATGCCTAAGTACGTAGACACAGATCAAGCTCCAAAAGTGTTGTACAGAAATATGGGCTCCTCGTCACCTTGACAAATCCACCTCCATAAAGACGCAGGAGGCCGGGCTGGAGCTGTGGCTCTCAGCCTCCCAGGGGCCCTTGGTAGCCTCTGCCACCGCCTCCCTCTTCCTACTTCTGCTGGGGGGACCACAGTCCACCACCCCCTGCCTAGCTGCTTCTCGGGCCTTCTCACCTGGCACCAGAACTCAGAATGGCTCCTTAAGGGTTCTCCACAGATGCTGCACACAGCATTTCTGCCTAAGAGCCCCTAGGGCTCATGGCCACAGCAGCTGCAAGCAAGGCCGGGATGTGCAGTCCCCCACAGGTACCCATGTGTCCAGGTGGAAACGGCAGCTCTACTGTTAGAGAAGAAAGGGAGGGTGGGTACTGAGAGACACCAGAGTCTCTGCCACAGAACTAAGAACACCTGCAAACCTCACCAACACACGAGGAGCCACTGCACCCAGTACCCCACAACCCCAGGGCCTTCCTGTGAGGTCCACACTCTACCCGGAAGACATCTGTGCCAGTGGGAAGGCAGAAGGTCAGGGATGGTGCCGCCTGGACTCTCCGGGTGGGCACAACCAACTAATGATACCAGCGAAGGTGGCCAGCCCTTACAACCACATTCCAGCCAATCAGAGGCTCTCTTCTTTCCTAGAATCAATCGTGCGAGTCTTCTCCAGAGACAAAGGTGGTACACACAGGTCCAAGGTGAGTATCACGACCAGAAGGAAGTCATCAAACGATATCAGAACAGGAACTGGCACTGTGCTGTCTGGCCAGTGAATTACTGGGGGACTAAGGATAAAATTTGCACAGGTACCAGGACAATTCTACAAGCAATGGCTGCGTGCACAGCCGCAAAGCCGATGAGATGCTGTTCGAGCAATCACTGGAAATACAAAAAGACATTTCCAAGAGATGTTAGGCCAGGTGCATACAGGAGCATACAGCAGAAATAAAAAATAATCTCAAGGATGAACATCGCGGATTCTCCTGCAAGCTCCAGGTGGGAAGGGCTGCTGAAGAGGGAACAGATGAAGCGCCACAGTGGGCAGCTCTCTAGGCAGCACCTCTCTGACTTGGTCCCAGCTGGCAGCAACATGGCAGGAGGCACCAGGTGTGCCGCACGAAACCGGAGAGCTTCAGCCAGCCAAACCCAGAGGCCCTCATGCCTCGTTAGAAAGGCAAGAAGAAATGACAGATATTCCGTACGAGTCCGTTCTCACACTGCTATAAAGAAATACCTGAGACTCGGCAATTGATAAAGAAAAGAGGTTTAATTGGCTCATGTTCCCCAGGCTGTATAGGAAGCATGAGGCTGGCATCTGTTCAGCCTCTGGGGAGGCCTCAGGAAATGTCCAGTCATGGAGGAAGGGGAAGCAGGTATGTCTTCCACGACTGGAGCAGGAGCAAGAGAGGGGGAAGGGGCCACACACTTTTAAACAACCAGGTTCCTGAGAGCTCACTCATTCACTCCACAGCACTGAGTGGGGGCGGAGC